TTCCCAAGGGGCCTCCCCAAGGAGCCTTCCCAAGGAGCCTCCCCAAGAAGCCTCCCCAAGGGCAGGGAGGCCGGAGCGCTCCGTGCCCGGACACGCACCAGGATGGGCCCGTCCAGCCCAGTCCCCGCTCTGGACAGGGGCTCCAGCCCCCCAGGGCCCCCCAGGGCTCCCGCCCGGCGCCAGCCGAGCTCTGCTCTGCTCCCAGGTCCCGGCACTGCGGCCGTTCCCCGGACCCCCACTGGAACCGGCAGCCGAGCCCCGCGCCCGGGGCAGAGGCTGCAGGAGCAGCACGTGCCCATTGACCCCACGGGGACGTCTCCAGCATGGGGAGGAAGGCCCAGCTTGGAGCAAGGTGGGGGACCGGGCAGAACGGACCCGGGGGGCTCCCCCGGCCGCGTGTGACCCCAGCCAGGACAAACRCACCCTGCCCCGCGCCGGGCGCCGCGTCCGCGCCGCTCCGTACGTACCTCCAGCGCGCACATCCCGAAGGAGAAGATGTCCACGGCGGTGCCGTCCGCCCTTTCTGCGGGAGCAAGGCAGGAGCGTGTCGGAYGGACGGGCGCCCGGGACCCGCCGCGGGCTGGGGCAGCTGCCTGCACCCTGCAACCGTCGTCTGCTCCCCGCACACCCCCAGCTCCTCCCTGCACATCCCGACCCCCTTCACAGCCCCACTTGCTTCCCCTCTCCTCTGGTAACACCGGCTCTCCATTACCCGCACACTCCCTTCTTTCTCTTTCTCTTTCTCTTTCTCTTTCTCTTTCTCTTTCTCTTTCTCTTTCTCTTTCTCTTTCTCTTTCTCTTTCTCTTTCTCTCTCTCTCTCTCTCTCTCTCTCTCCCCCTCTTTCTCTCTCTCTTTCTCTCTCTCTTTCTCCTTTCTTCTTCTCCTTTCTCTTTCTCTCTCTCTCTTTCTCTTTCTCCTTTCTCTTTCTCCTTTCTCTTTCACTGTCACTCTCTCTCTTTCTCTTTCTCCTTTCTCTTTCTCTCTCTCTTTCTCCTTTCTTCTTTTCCTTTCTCCTTTCTCTTTCTCTTTCTCTCTCTCTCTCTCTCTCTTTCTCCTTTCTCTTTCTTTCTCTTTCACTGTCACTCTCACTCTCTCTCTTTCTCTTTCTCCTTTCTCTTTCTCCTTTCTCTTTCTTCTCTCTCCATTCCCTTTCACTCCCCTCAAATTTGTGCCAGAATAGTCAAGATGGGGAATCACATCATGAATTTGNTCTTTCTCCTTTCTCTTTCTTCTCTCTCCATTCCCTTTCACTCCCCTCAAATTTGTGCCAGAATAGTCAAGATGGGGAATCACATCATGAATTTGCACATGGCATAAAGACTCTTTAGGCTTCTCCCCCTAATTGTTCCAGCATTTCACAGGTCTGTGAATGCTGCTGAGCTATAATCCGACCTTCTGCAAACTACCCGCGGTCCTGCTGAGATCTCGTCCCTAACCAGCAGTTGCTAACGAGTCCATTAGCAATCCCCACGTTGGCACAGCTGGTTTTCCCCCCGCAGCTCTGCTCTGCTCAGCACTGAGTTTCACCCGCAGGGTTATCACGCTGCCACGAGGCTCGCTGGGACCGYGGCCGGGAGCTTTAGCTACCAGCACACCGACTGATCGCAGCAAAGGCAGGGCACCCGAGCGCCCCGCTCGCCCCGCTCCCAGCGCGCACTCACGGCCGTACTCCGGCGGGAAGAAGTGCAGGTTGCGCAGCTCCTCTCTCTCGATCCGCATGGGGCTCCGAAGGTCATCCGGGAGCGCTGTGCGGGGCGGCAACAAAGGTCCGGACTCGCAGCTCTTCCTTACGCGGCCTCCCCGTGGATGGGAGCACGGCTCCAAGCTCCCGCCCGTGAGCCACCCGTGGAGCACTGGCTCCCACGAGAGATCCTGCTGCTCCCTCATCAGGAGCAGGAATTCCCCGAGGAACTGGGCCCTTCCAGCTGCAGAGCAGCAGGAGTGCCCAGGGCCCCATGGGACCCGCACGGGCGAGGGGCACTCACCGTTTGCAAACACCCTGTGCCAGACTGTGGTCGGTGCCGATCCAGGGCCGCAGGAGCGGGAAGACCAGGAAGCAGAGGACAAAGAGAGGAGAAGGTCGCTCTAACCCATGCGCACAGCTCGCCAAGGGGAGCTGCAGGTCCTTGCAGGAGCTTGCATGTCCTTGGTCCTTGCAGGCCACCAGGCAGCCCAGCACCTCCCTGGCTTCTCCTCTCGAACCGCCCCGAGTGCCCACGGCGTAACATGTCCGCGAGGCAGCCCCCCGCGCCTGCAGCCTCCTACCTGAGCCGATCTTTATGAGCCCGTTGTGCTGGATGAAGATGGTGTCGCTGGTGAGGTTGCCGTGGATGATGGGCGGCTCGCAGGAGTGCAGGAAGCTGCGGGGAGCACGGAGCCCACTGAGCACGCGGCGGGCGCCCTGAGAGCRGGGTGGCCCCGGTGCGGCCCCGGCGCGCTCACCTGAGAGCAGAGAGGATCTGGGTGCACCAGCGCTTCCAGGCCTGCAGGAGACACCAGACCGGCCCGTCGGGCACCCGCCAGCGCCCACAGGTCCCCAGCAGCCAGGGCAGCATCGCCCCAACCTACCCAGTGGTGGCCAATGCCAGGACAAGGGGCCATGGGGACAAGTTGGAGCCCAGGCAGCTCCATGTGCCCATGAGGAAGAAGAAGGTGAGTGTGAGGGTGGCCGAGCCCTGGGTGAGGCTGCCCGGGGAGGCTGYGGAGGCTCCTGCTCTGGAGAGCTCCCAACGYGCCGGGATGCGCCCGGGTGCTCCGGGTGTCCCTGCTGGAGCAGGSGCTGCACTGGGGGATCCCTGGGGATCCCTGCCGACCTCGACCACTCTGGGRTTCTGGGATTCTAGGGACAGCAGCCCTCTGCTAGCCCTGGGGAGACTCCTACTCAAAGAAACTTGTGCTCAAATGTCCCAGCACAACAGCCTCCTTTGCGATTCCAGCTCAGCCAACACCAGTAAGGCCGAGAATTCCAGTGCCACGAGCCTCGTTGGGCAGAGCGGAGCCCTGCTGGGCACGGAGCCCAGGCGGGAGCGCGGGCACCGCCGAGAGGCACAGGGTGGCTGTGCTTATGAGGCCTGTGCGCACGGTCTGTACATGCTGGCGTGGGCAAACTCTGTGCACCAGCGTGGGCACTGGCTCCAAGGGCACCGGCTCCAAGGGCACCAGCTCTGGGAACTCGGCTCAGCCTTGGCTGCAGCCGCAGCTTCCCCGGAGCGGGTCCCGGTGGGCTCCACACTGGGAGGCTGCAGGGCCGGTTCCGAGGGTGTCCGGGGCGCCCCAGGGTGCCCTTCGAGCACCACTGGAGTCCCAGCGGCGCAGGGAGCACCCGGGTCCGTCCTGCCGCCGAGCGCACACCCTACCCTGGCGTTCATGGCCTTGTGGTTCTTCTTGGTTTTCTTCAGGAACTGCTTCAGGCTCCCCGAGGACACGTACTCGGTGATGAAGATGACCTGGGAGCGAAGGCAGCCGTGGAGCCCGGCACGGGTGAYGCCGGCCGCTCTCCACGGCTTCCCGAGGAGCGGAGGCGGCCACAGTGCCGGGAGCCCACGCCGTTCCCGCCGGGATATCCCCCGCGTCCCGCTGGGATCCCCCGCATCCCGCCCTCCCTACCCGCGCCTTGGAGTCCTTCACGTCCAGCCAGTACTTGTGAAGCTTCACGATGTTGGGGTGATCCACGAGCACCAGCTGCTCGAACATGGTCTTGATCTTCTCCTGTGGGCACAGAGGGGGACGCGCGAGGGTGGCAGTGGCAAGTGCGAGGGGTCCAATGGGCACCGCAGAGCCGGGGAGGAGACAGCACCCCGAAACACGAGGGAAGGTTTCCCAGGGCATGGGGGGGACCTGGAGCGGCTCCGAGAGAGAAGCTCCATGAAGGGGACAGCAGGGTAAGGGCTGCGGCTCGGGCTGCCGGTGCCGCTAAAGGGGAGCAATGGGGAGCAATGGGAGCAATGGGAGCAATGGGGAGCAGCGCTGCGGGCCGGGCGAGCAGCCTGTGTGCGCCCCGGGCGAGCTCACCTCATGGGCCTTGAAGGCCTTCTTGTCGGTGAAGAGCAGCTCGTTCCACACCACTTCCACGCCCTCCTCCGTGTCCATGGCCAGGAAGGTGCTCTGGATGCCCGGCATGTTGCCCTGATTCACCTGCAAGCCACGGGAAAAGGTGAGACAGTCTGGCTGCATCTTGCCCATGTGGGACCCACGGCATGGAGCTGTGCAGGCGAGGAACCTGCTGCATGGAGCTGAACTGGTAAGGGAACCTGCTGCATGGAGCTGTGCAGCTGAGGAACCTGCTGCAGGGAGCTGAACTGGTAAAGGAACCTGCTGCATGGAGCTGCACGGCTGAGGAACCTGCTGCATGGAGCTGTGCAGCTGAGGAACCTGCTGCAGGGAGCTGCCCTGATGAGGGAATTGCTGCATGGAGCGGTGCAGGTGAGGGACCCGCTGCATGGAGCTGTGCAGGTGAGGGATTCACTGCATGGAACTGCACAAGTGATGGACCTGCTGCATGGAACTGCACAGCTGAGGGACCCGCTGCATGGAGCTGAACTGGTAAGGGAACCGCTGCATGGAGCTGCACAGGTGAGGGACCTGCTGCATGCAGCTGCACAGCTGAGGAACCCGCTGCAGGGAACTGCACTGGTGAAGGATTCGCTGCATGGAGCATCACTAAGTGAAGGACACACTGCATGGAGCTGCCCTGATGAGGGACCCGCTGCATGGAGCTACACTAGGTGAAGGACACACTGCATGGAGCTGCCCCAGTGAGGGACTTCGGAGCCGGGCTCCTTCTGCAGCAGCGGGTACCGCGTGTCCCGGCCACGGTGCCGCCCGCACGTGTCACCTCTGCGGGTGCTGCCACAGCAGCAGGGCTGCGGCCGCGGCACCCGGCCCCTGCGCTGCTCTCCCGGTGCTGCCCTGAGGCTCCAGCCCCCGTGAAACCCCCAAGAGCCCCAGTCCTGAGCGACAGCGCAGAGACCCCCCCGCGCCAGCCCCTGCCGCCCGGGAGGAGCCGGTACTGCTGCAACGCAGTGTCCGCAGTGCGGGCTGCACGTTGCAGTGCTGCTCGGTCCTGCAGGAGCATCCCGGCAGGAGCATCCCGGCAGGAGCATCGCTGCAGGAGCACCCCAGCAGGAGCACCCCGGCAGGAGCATCCCGGCAGGAGCATCCCGCAGGAGCATCCTGGCCGGGCCTGGCCTGCAGCCGGCCCTGACCCGCCCCTGCCTCTGCCAGCCAGGGCTGCAGGGTCTGCGAGTG